AGGCGGATTCAGTATCAGTATCAATGAATACTTAAAAAAAGACCATATGAAACTTCTTCAATCAAATGAAGTCAGTATTAGCTATTCCTTTCCTCTTTTCTTGTAGTTCTTCCTGGGCATAGGAAGGGTGGGATAGCCGGGCTGCTAAATACATATCTGTCAGTTCGAATAAACAAATAGTTGCCCTGATAGTTCACTCAAGCACCCATACAATTTACTCTCTTGACTTCTTGCATATAGACTAATTCAAGGATAAAAGTTTCTGCTTATATATATATATATATGACAATGTTTCGTTAATGAGGGCAATAACTACGTACTCATGGAAAATGGACTTGGAAAGTTCCACTAATTGCATCCTAATTTTAACACTGTAAACAGGCTTTTTAGAAAATGCAAACATCTTTCCTTACAACATATATTAGCTTCTTGGGCTAGTATTATTTTTATCCACGAGATCTAACTATACAAAAATTTCAATCCAATTAGCTAAAGAATTATATCTTAGCCCATGAAATGTTATATATGATTTTAGCTATCCAGCAATGTCCAACCAACAGTGAGAAGGAAATGGTTTCAGACTTCTAATTTCGAAGATAAAATTAGTCCCGATGTCTTTCTTTACCCTTTAATGGAGCATTCCCATGTTTGGGTGATAGATCCTTCATTTCCTTCATTTGGGTGCCTCTAATGAAGGAAAGAGAATGATTAAAGCCACTCACAACCAATATTGCAATAGTATGTTTAGTTCTCTCTAATTTCCTAAACAATGTAATAATATCTGACACTAAAACTAATTAGGTTGTTTACTTACACTATATCAATCAATCTTGTAACAATAATAATGATTGTAGTCTCTCAATCTTATAATCAAATATATTATAATACATCACAAATAATTAAATTGTTGTACCATCATTAAAATTCAACTAAAAATATCTTTAAGTTTTACCTCAAACAAATGGTCAAGGAAGAAGTGTGATAAAGAACCAGCAGACACCAGAAACAGACATTGTTTTCTTGAAAGTGGAAGCTGCACATGGGAATCCATAAAAGAACAGAATCTAAAATTAGAAATGTTACTGAGACTCTGAATCACTCTCCCGAAACAACTTGATCCAAAGATGAAACTCGAATTTAAACTTGCAAATATTAATCCAAATCTTAATTCAACTACCCCAAGTCCCACCAAATTAAACCGCCATTAACGGACTTAAAGCACCCAATAATTTTCATACACGGTAAACCAAAATTAATGAAGTCACCAAAAGAACCCAAATGATTCAATTTCCGAAAAAAGAAAACCTTCGTATCTATTTCTGTTATCTTTAGTTTCATAAATAGAAAGATTCCAATCAATTTAAGTACGCAGCACCAAGCAACTAATAACCATAAAAAAGAGTCAAGTGTATGTACCTAAAACAGCGGAAATGGAAAGAGAAAAAAAAGTTTCTAAATTTAAGCTCAAAAAGTTTAAAACCCAGATCTGAATCTCCGTCTAAGTTTCCATTTCTGGTCTAGATACTTACTTGTCAACAAACCCAAACAACACCCAAAAAAATCCAACGAAGTCAACAAGCTCAAAATCAGCCAAACTCACCCCAGAAACAGAAGCAAGAACTCCATTTTGAAGTAAAAGCCTTGAGATCCAAGAGTACAGTACAGAAAAAGGCAAGCCCAGAATTAAGATATAGAAGAAAGGATGGTGGATGGAATCGGCCACCGCAAAGTCCGAGGAATCAACAAAGAAAGAGCTGAGCCACTCGGAGAAGGAGCCGATGTCGGGGCCGAAGAAAGCGTTAATAGCGTAGGTGAGAGTGTGGTGCGAAGTGAATCGGCCGGTGGTCAAGGAGGTCAGTGCCAGGCCGGAGCCCATCGCGTACATCAGTGCGGACCTGGCCCCGGCATTGG